AAATATAGAAAAACATTTATGAAAAAATAATTTGTTTAATTAAAGGGTGTTCCAATTAGAACGTAATTTTTAAATTTGGCGCCATTCGAAGTATCACGCGAATATGCCGGCGACGACTCAAGCCATATAAGAGCAAATTGGACGCTTCATGAACAAATGCGGCAGCATTTAGGCAATACGGACATTGAAAGTTTCATTAAAAGATCGCGTGTCTACCAGCATAGCCGCGTCAGCCATGAGCACAATATCTTGTTCTATAAATAACCTCATTCTATCTACTTTACGATGAAATAAAATATCATGATTTTTTAAAATATCTTTCCGAACCGATATCTATAAAATTTGGAGGATGTATATCTGAGCAGTATCTGATATCTGGAACCAAATAGAATTGTTGGGGAGTGCATATTACGAATGTGAGGGACTTAAACATCAAATCAGATTAAACATATATGTGGGAGCTATAGCTATTTCGGAACCGATTTTCACCAAATTTTAAATACTTTCTTCCGTGATAAATTCCTTCGGATGTGCAAAAATCCATTACATTCGGCCGAATAATACACATATAGTGCACAATAAAGTTTAAATCAGATAAAAATATATATGAGATAGAACCCACTAAATATCTTCTGGGATAAGATTACTGGACTTAACTTGGCCATGTGTGCTGAAATTCATTTGATTCGTACTGGTATTACGCATTTGGTGCACAATACTGATGAAATCGGATGACCGATTATCGCCAATTTCAATAGGGCCAATCTATTGATTTGTTGAAATCACCTCAATCAGACAATAAATGCCAGCTGTACTTTGTTTACAAAAATACATTTTGTATGGTAAACATCAATGTGATTGTAGCCCAGACTCCCTCAGATATGGTTAATATTCCTGACATTTTTTGTAACTTTGTCATTCCATGTAACACTTCGAAATATTTGCCGTAGACCAATTGAGTACATATATTCCTGATCATAAAATTCTAAGCCTGTCCCGTTAAAATATAGATCTAGGTTACAATTTTCAATATAATAGATATAAATATGGCACAAATATTTGTAGCACCCCTAAGATATTTGTTGTTAAAAATTGCCCACATTTGGTTATAGATCCCATACAACACTCCCGATTTTCGAAGGTTTTGGTCCAATTTTTTTTTATATTCTGGATTCTTGTGGGGTAGTTTTACTCCCCTCCCCCCATTTTGATTTTTCCAACCTTTTGATTTTCTGTATTTTGAAAATGTTTCGTATAGATTTAGCCCCAAATTAAAGGAACTTGGCCATATATCAATATAACAATTTTACACGTATCACGGGGGAAGAGTATACAAAATTCAACTCAGCCGAAATTAAAGCCGCCTTTACTTGTTCTCTATAGAGTTTCCCTTAAAAACAATTGGACAATGTCTTGCACAATTTTATTTTGTAATAAAAATGTGAATTGTTTTTCTATGCAAAAGGGAATATTCTTCAACTAAAAAGTATAGGAGTGACTCAGTATGAAATGTTCCCATTTACCTTAGAATTATGTAAAATGGTTTTAACTTTAAATCGATTTCAGTGAATTAATAAATATTTATATTACTTGAAAAAATTGCAAATATGATTTACGAATATAGCATATAGTACCGGTGACAGCAATGAAACAGCAGTATGAGTAATATTAATTTCCAACATTTCATGAATCATCCGTTTAATTACAATTAAAAAAACTCTTAACTTAAATAAATTCTAAAGAAATTATATAAGATTCTTTATAATTTTCAATATAAATACCAGAAATTGTAAATAAAAAATAATAGTTAGCGCAGACTAACAAACAGTTGAGTTTTTTCTTTTTAATGACAACCATTTGAAATTGTGTTGGTTGTAGGAGGTGTCTGTGTTTTATGCTAAATATTTGCAGCAGTTCTCTTCCTTTGATGTTTGATGTTCCCATGCTTATGACCGCTGACAACAATGAAAATATGCCACTAGTTTTCAATGCCATTTTTTCAGTAATGATTTAATTGCAAATGACCAAATGCACATCTCATTAGATAATTTTAGGAATCGGTTCGAAATTGCATCATTGTGGACTGAAAAAGACTAATATTGTTGTTGCTGAACAAACATGACTAACATTTGTTGTCGTTAAAATGAAATTAATGTTGTTGTTAATTTAATTTGTATGTTTCTTTTTTTCAACTTAGACAAAAAATGCTTAGCATTTGACTGGACAAATTAAATTGTTTATCATAAATGAAGCACAGATTTAGGAAACTGTAGAGCAACACAAAATTAAGCAACAACATCCTTATTTTCTATAATGAAATATTAAACCATAAATGAAATACTGAACGCAGTTCGTGCAAAAAGTTACAAAAGCAAGAACATATCATCAGTCATGATGGGATGTGATTTTCCCTGTCCTATTAAATTTTCCGGTTTTGTTGTCATAATAATGAACATATGTGTTTAAGTAGGTTATTGTTAGGGAGATAAGAGGTCAGAGTGATAACAGTGTTGAAATAGTTATTGGTTTTGAATATTTTCCCCATAAGATATTACATATATTATAGTAATTACTCCTGCTATGATTTTTTCTAATTATTGTTGCCATTTTAAGTAAGTGAGTGGTCTTGATGGTTTCGACTCTGAAGGTGAATTTTTATTGAATTTAAGTGTTCACCATTTTTGCTCTTCAGGGCAATTGTTATGTCTGTTGATATCACCCCATCTTTCGAACGAATTAAGATAACAGGCTAAAATTTTGCCCATATGTGTGCAGGTTAAGTCAGCCATGTCGGTCCACGTTTACGTATAGCCCCCATATAACGGTAACTCCAGATATTCGGTATTTTGATGGTTTTTGCTACATTACATTTGTCATGGGTACTTCAGACTATGAAAAAAATCATTATGCCGGTCCACGTCCTCCTATAGCTCTCGTATAACGGTTTTTATTTAAGCGGTATTTTTCGGAAATTTTGGAAATTTTTCAATTTCTCCCCATATGGTGTGAGGGTACTTACTAATAGTTCGGTTGGCTTAGCTGCTTTTTAACCTTTTCGGCTATCTTTTATGTTACAGTGTCAATAAGTGGTTAACAATTATTGCCTTAAAAAAACTACATTTTGTTATTATTCAACATTTTTATCTTTTGTGGGGAAGTAGGAGAAGCAGGGGTTCAAATTGTCCATGCCAACTCTAAACCTTAGTCTTACAATGTGTACCCAATGTAGTCCATGATCCCTTATGCTCTAATACAGGTTTAAATATTTGAATGGGCTTATTTTGAGGATATTGGCCTGGGTATGGAGGGTATATTAAGTTTGTCCTTCCATTTTTCCAAATTATATATCTTCTTGATATGCATAAACTGCTATGTCGATTTAGCGATGTCCGTCCGTCAGTGGAAATCACTCTAGCTTACGAACGAATTGAAGTAGGCTGAACAAATTTTACTCAGATGTGTTTTAGGAGGACTGCGGGACATTTGGTATTACGTCCACTTTTTGGTATAGCCCCGATATAACTGCAACGATTTCGTTTTTTAAGTCATAATTTAAACCCAAATTTGAACGAAACCAAAACGCATATACAGGATGAGATGAAAAACCTTCAATCAACCTCATACTGCTGTAATTTCTAAGCCCCTCGACCGAAGGCTGTTAAAATTAGTCAGCAGAAATGGTTCGAAAATTAAAGAAGCGACTTGATCGACACCCGCGTCGTAGTGGCCGAAAATGGGGGGTGTATAAAAGTCTTGGGCACGCAAACATTTTGGCCGCAGACCTTGGACATTCCAACAGGACTCAGCACCATCGCACTCAGGACTCGCCACCCAAGAATGGTTAGAAAATGAGGTTCCTCGCTTCATTTCCAGCTCACGATGCCCACCAAAATCTACAGATACCAATCCGTTGGACTATTTTGTCTGGAGTATTTTGGAAAGCAAGGTTGGCACTAAAAAATACCAAAGTGTCGATCATCTCAAGCAAGCGTTTCGCGGGGAATGAGCCAAAATACCGCAGAGCAACATCCGGGCAGCGTGTGACGGTTTCATTGGCCGTTTGAAGGCCATAATTCGTGCCAAAGGTGAACAATTTGAATAAATCTAAACTTATTCTAAAATTTGATGCTATTTCCGACATTTTTTGCTTTCATTCAATAAGATTTAAAAAACATGTATAAGTTATGGTGTTTGACTTTGTTGCAAACAGCAGACTTCTGGTGCTGAAACGATTAGTCAGGGTCAAAATTTTTAATTGCGATGAGGTTCATAAAATGCAAAATAAATGATTATTATTTCCAAGCTTGGGACATCCCAAAGTTTCTATCAACACAAAATCTGGTATCTCTCCCACAATAGGTTTAAATTTCTCTAGTATAAACAATTTTTTTCTCTTAATGTGAGATTTGATTTGAATATGATATTTATTGGTCTACTCTTTTTAATATCTCCTCCGAAAGGAAGGATAGGGTCAGGTCAAAATATATTTAAATGGGCGTCTATATACTGATGATATACAAAAGGCAGAACCGACAGATACTTTTTAACTTGGGATAAGGTAAATAATTTTCTTTACAAAATTTCGAACCTTGTCGGAGTACTAGAAGAAGTGGACCATTATCGTCCATATCCGAACTCAATCTAAATTTGGTAATAATATAAGGATGTTATGAGAGTTATCGTGCGCACAGACGTCCGCCTGTCTGTTCCTTTCGGAGGAGATATTAAAAAGATTAAAATTGTGCTGAAACAGATTACGTCCGAAGAGACATTGAATCTAAAACCATTATTTTTATTACACACAGTTCTGCCGTATTAAAATATGTAGCAATATGGCAGCAAGGTTTAATGAATATTCTAACTGGTCTACAAGTCAATCCCTTTAATTATGGTGTCGGTCAGTAATATTAAGTCTACATTTATACTTGTTTTCAAGCAATTGTTGAGAAATCGAGTTATTGAGAAACATTTATTAAATTAATCCCTTATTATAATTTCAGATCTTTGGCGTATTATTGCTGTTGTTAGCAGGATTCGGTTGGGATGCGATGCCACAAAATTATGGCATCGGCATTATTGCACTGGGGTGTGTAATTTTGTTGACCTCTCTCTTTGGATGCTTTGGATCGATTCGGGAATCGGCTCGCAGTTTGTGGACGGTAAATTTATATTTCAAAATAATATCGAAAAATATATATTTTCTAATTTCATTTTTTTATCATTATTTAGTATGCCGTAATGCTGCTTATCATTCTGGTCCTAACAGTTGTGTTCATCTGTTTGAATACAAGAGATGTCTTCAAGAACTATGCCATTCAAGAGGTTAATCAGCTGTGGGAACAGGAATTGATCCATCCCGGTGCCATGGACCAAAAACAACTTGTGGTATGTATTTGAGGTGACGTCATTTGGTCTGATTAATTGACTTTCCTCTCATTTGCTTTGCAGTATGAATGCTGTGGCAAAAATGGACCCGACGACTATTTGCTTGCCGGTCGTATCACACCATCAAGTTGTTGCAAGGACAGTAACTGTATCAACCCATTGAACATCCACATCAATGGTTGTTTGTCGAAAATCGAAGAAGCCTTCTCCAATGAAGCGTTGACATCTCAAATTTCGGAATGGGTATTACTGGGTCTGAATGTGAGTACAATTAAATATACTTTTCGTTTCAATTTTTTTAACCTATTGCACTTTTCCGTTTGCTTGCAGGCTGTTGTTCTACTCATGTCCATTATGTTGGCCATTCACTACACCAACCAAAGGCGGCGTTTCAATTACTAATTGTTGGTCGAGAACAGTTTTGCTGTTAAAAGTGGGAAAAAATTGACGAAGAGAACTCACCACTACCTCCAAGCTAAATAATTGAAGTCACGTGTACCTTTAAAATACTGATTACAAATTCTTTAAGATAGACAAAACACATTTTTGTATTTGTTATAATGTAGGATATTTTTAACATACAACTTAACATATTTTTTTATTAATTCGATTTTACATAAATATACAATATATGTATTGTTTTTAAACTATATACATACAAAGATTCGAATAAAATATTTAAGAGATGATCATGTTTACAACTAAAATGACATGTAAAGCCTATATAATTATACACAACAACACTATGTGTTGGGGGTATTATAAGTTTGATTGGCCCAAAAATTATGTTACACCTTCATAGGAAAGTATATATGGATCTTCCTATCTCGCCGAGCTGAGTCGATCTAGCTATGTATGTCCGTCCGTCCGTCTGTCCATGTTAATTTGTAATCGCTCTGCAGGTCGCAATTATGGCCCGATCTTCACGAAATTTAGAATGTAGGTTGGACTAGAGCCAGAATAGAATCCAATCGACGCGGAAGTTAGCATGCGGCTAGAAATTAGGGCTGGGCAGAATCCTTCCAATTTTGATGGTCATCGGTGAAATAGACCATAACATATAAAAATAAAAGTAGAATTTTCCATTAAACCGCGAATATTTTATAATCCCGACGAAATCAACAATAGACGAACAGGTCGATTCTGACCGTTACGTAGATGCCGATAATAAATATATCGGATATATATAGCGAAATATATACAATGTGTATTTACAAAGGAAGCTTGAATGCTTATATCTCAAAGATGGCTGGACCGATTTTGACAAATTTTGTCAATTCAGAATGCCCTCTTGGCATAAAAGAATCAAATGTAAAAAAAAAACGCACAAAAAATTACAATAATGATGTTAATATAGATTTTGTAGTATTTTGTGACATTTTTCATATTTTTTATCGCATGCGATAAAATACTTATAGTATTGAAGTGAATATTTTTAAATATTTTTTCAGATTTAAACACAGGTTGGGGTTATTATATACAGATTGCAGTTATTGTCCGATTCTCACGAAAATTTTCACAAGGATAGGGTTAGGTTCAGAAGGGCTAAGCCTATTCTTTTCAAAGATGTCCGCAATATATTTAAGAGTTGAAATGGACCAACAAATAAAAATGTTCCTCAGCAGCCATTATAAAGCTCACAAATAGAATCCAAAGGACACGTGCGTAAATATTGGGCAAATGTCCCTGGTCAAAATGCTTACTTGTCTAAATATAATCTGTGGCACTCTAAATCCACAACATGGCTCCTATATGAATTACAGTTTGTGCCTAGAACTACTTCTGCTTAATGTAGCTTAATACAAATTCTACGTTTACTCAATAACTAACTTAACTCAAAAACGTTGATTTTGCAAAAACAAAAAAAAAAAAAAAAACATTTTATTGCTCTTTGGAAGAATTACATCGTATTACATCGTATTCGTATAATCGTATTCGTATAATCGTATTCGTATAATATTTTAATGGCAAATTTCCTTTCAAGATCAAAAATATTTCTATGTATAATACGGCCTCAAAACATATTTTATAGAATTTTGTTACTTCCTGAACAAGTGGTCACTCAAGAAAATAATTTTGAATATATCAAATTACATTTTTACAATGTTTATACGCTACGTCATACTGTGATGCAGGGTATTATGTCTTTGTTCATTTGTTTGCAACATGCAAAAGGAAACGAGATGTATGTCAGCCATTTCCATTCAGCCTCGTCCATTTGTCCATGTATTTTTACAAACAAAGTACAGGTCTCTCTTTTGAAGAAAAACTGTCCACAGGCCATTTATTTAACACAAATTCGTGCCAATCGGTTCAGATTGGGATTGAGTTACCACATAATTGTTAACCTGATTTTACTATTATTATTCACCAAATGCGTAATACTTCTTATGCGATTTGCCCTTTAGGTCCCTCAAATCGGTACAAATTTGGTCAATATATATTTTTCTCTAATTGGATTAATATGATGCACAAACCATGCTGTAATTGTAACTTTGAATATTGGATTGTACTATCAAGTTTCGACCATATTAAAGTCTGCCAAGTGTATGCCAAATCGTTTTAAATATAGCTATAGCTCCCATATATATGTTTCACACGTTTTTATATTTAAGTATTTTATTTCGCTTGTATTTTTGGTTTTTGCAACAATAAATCATTAAGAAAAGACCAAAGTCTGGCGATGCCGCAATTTTGATACTCAACACCACTATGAATATTTAATAGAGTTACCTATGACAAATTCAGATATTTTAGGATCTTATATCTCTTGTATATTGTACCGAAAATCCTTGTAATAAAGTGTTTACATATTTGAGTGACACCTAAGTATGGAGCTATAGCCAAAACTTAAGCGATTTTCGGGTTTTGAATTAAACAAACTTGATTCTATGAAAAATTTGGTAGTCTATAAAAAATGCATCTCATTTGGGCAAATATTACACATAAAGTGAAATCGGATAGAGTTATAAAAGTATATCTGGTACCAAATATCATTTATGTGGAGTGCATATTACGAATAAGAGGTACTTAAAAAAAGATTTCCACTTCTAGGCAGAATAAGGTCGTATATTCTCTGTTTCTCTGTTTCTGTCCTTGGGCCAAACAAATTATCTGAGCAGCATTTCACCACAATCGAGCAACATACAGGCTGCATTGTATTTTGCTTATAAAAAACTTGGACACAGGGACGGTTGGACTCACATGAACACTTCACGTACAGCTGACCATGACAAAAGCAGGAACATGTGAAATTTAGTCCGCCTGCACAAAGAGTTTTGTCCTTGGGATTTGGTTATTTCATAACAAATGCCAATCATATAGGAAACTGCAATATTTTCAAGTAAAACAAAAATTTTGTAGCTACTGGAGGGATTCTAGGTAGAAATACATATCGTTGTGGGTCTAGGTTTCTTTATAGAACAATATCCGAATCCAACCTGCATCAACATAAACTGACAAAATTTAATTTTGGGCCAAATTCTGTCACACATTTCACACTTTGATATGCATAGCATATTTGGTGCATCAAATACACAAAATCGCACGAAATACGTATATAGGCGATATATCCAAATCTAACTGCCTTCATTCCAGACAGCTGTCATTTCTAAGTCACTCGTCCGACAGCTGTTAAAATTATTCCAGTGATAGCTAATTATATTGTTTACAAGCGTACAAAAGCATTTTGGTGAGAATTTTTCAAAAAAAAGGTAATCGTGATGGTATTCAAGCGTGATAGTGTGATTTCTTTATATTTGGCCGCAAGTGGCTATAGTCAGCATTTAAATGTGAATAAATCTTTTATGTCTCGTACCATGGCTTGTCACCGTGATACTTGTAGCGTAGCCCGACGCCAAGGAAGTGGACGGAAGAAAACAGCAACATCAGCAGAAATTTTTCGAAAAGTAAAGAACCGACTTGATCGAAACCAGACAACATTCGTTGTCCAGCAGTTTGTAAACAAACAAAATAATCGTGTTTACTTGCCAAAGAGGTCATCTGAAAATGCGCACCTTCGGTTGACCACCAGAACTCAAGCGCCGGCCATGGTGATGGTGTAGGCCGCCATAACAACCAATGGTCGCTCTCCGCTCGTATTAATCGCCATGGCATCATCAGAATAAATGTCGAATATTATCGCAAAAATATTCTGGAGGGTGTATTAAAGCCTTGCACACACAAACATTTTGGCCGCAGACCTTGGACATTCCAACAGGAATCAGCACGCGCCACTCAAGAATTGTTACAAAATGAGGTTTCTGGCTTCATTTCCAGCGCCACCAATATCTCCGGATACCAATTCATTGGACTATTGTGTCTGGAGTATTTTGGAAAGCAAGTTTGGCACTAAAAAATACCAAAGTGTCGATCACCTCAAGCAAGCGGTTCGCCGGGAATGGGCCAAAATACCGCAGAGCAATATGTGGGCAGCGTGTGACGGTTTCATTGGCCGTTTCTAGGCCATAATTCGTGCCAAAGGTGACCAATTCGATCAAATCTAAACTTATTCTAAAATTTAATGCTATTTCCGACGTTTTTTTGCTATCATACAATAAAATTAAAAAAAAAAACAAGTAAAAAGGCTGTACGTTCGGCCGGGCCGAACTTTGAATACTCTCCACCATTTGGTACAAATTTGGCAATTTTCAAAAAAATAAAATCCGTTAAAAATCCTGTGAAAGTCTTAAAAATACCAAATGTAGCCGTACATTTGGATCTATACGACGACGTGGACCTGCATAGGCAACTTTTGTCATAAACTATTACAATATTCAAATGCGAAAATTGAAAAAAAATCTGTTTATAATGTACCTAAAATCATCACCAACTTTCAATTCCAAATTTGAAACAATTCTGGTGAATAAATTCGCTAACTTCATCAAAATACCGAATATCGGGAGGTACCGTTATATTGGGGGCTATACCAAAACGTGGACTTACATGGCCCATTTTCAATACCAAATGGCCTGCAGACATAACATACATTTGAGTAAAATTTTATCAATCTACTTCAATTCGTCCGGAAGCCATAGTGATTTCCACAGACGGATAAACGGACAGACGGATCTATCAGTATTTTAATGAATATCCAATCCGGTTTAACTGGAAACATTTTACTATTCCTCTATAAAAATGTTTTATCTAAAAAAAAAATTTTTTTAAATGTATGCGAATGTAAACGTATAAGAATCTACAGGGTGAGATGAAAAAACCGCAAAAAAACTCGATTGGCCGAAAGTGGTGAATTCCCGAATTTGGTTTTCTCCGATAAGAAAACATTCGCTGTCCAGCAGTTTGTAAACAAACAAAATGATCGTTTTTACTTGCCAAAGAGGTCAGCTAAAAATGTGCACCTTCGGTTGGCCACCAGTACTCAAGAGCCGGCCATGTTGATGGTGTGGGCCGCCATAATAGCCGATGGTCGCTCTCCGCTGGTATTAATCGACTGTGGCATCAGAATAAATGCCAAATATTATAGCGAAAATATTCTGAAGTGTGTATTAAAGCCTTGGGCACGCAAACATTTTGGCCGCAGACCTTGGACATTCCACCAATCCGTTGGACTATTGTGTCTGGAGTATTTTGGAAAGCAAGGTTGACAGTAAAAAATACCAAAGTGTCGATCACCTCATGCAAGCGCTTCGCTTTTCTGTAATTTAAAGATATCGGCATTCAGTAGAAATTTCGAAATCAAATCCGTTTC